GTCTCGTCTGGACCAAACACACAGCTGCAACGTCCGAAAATTTTTCTCACTCTCGGATCTCAGAAAAGTATATATATATATATATATATATAGTAGATCTCTCGCATGTAACCTACAAGAGTCTCGCACAGGTAAAGGTGGACTCCTCGCAGGTATAAACTATATTGTGATGACTCTCGCAAATGTACATGTACCGATTTCTCGCATGTAAAAAGCACACATCGCAAGCAATCCGCCGGCTCGACCCAGCACAGAATCAAACCGAGCTGCGATTTCAACATGGAAAACCATGGCTTAACAAGTATGCTTGCAACACAATTCTCATAATTTTATCTTCACACCTGACCATGCCGCACTGTACAGTCGCAGGAAAATCTCATGCAATCAACAAGCAGAACCATGATAAAAGAAACAAAACCAACCAAAATTAGCTTGCATTTCACTTCTTCAAATTCGGGAATGTGTAACCTAAAAACATGTATTTTGCAGTGTAAAAAAATTTACATTGCAGTGTAAATTTTTTACTATACAAAGTAAATTAATTTACACTTTTTTTTTACGTAAATTTTTTCGTAAATTTGAAGTGTAAACCAAGCTTTGTTTAGTAAATTGCTCGCCACCTAAAATTAGGTAAACAGCAGGGTCAGGGTAGTGAAGCGACTGGTAGTGTGACATGGCACTTGCCCAACCCGGATGAACTCGTACGTGTGACGGATCTCGCCAAGCCGCACCAGGAGCTTGTCACATATCTTGCCCTCGACAGCCTCCACTCCCGTCCCAGCCCCGTTCCTCCACGACGTCTCACTGGAAGGGGACGACGGGCTTGCCCATTTCTTGCTTCCGAGCACGCTGCCCGCCGGGCGCACCTCAAGCGCACAGCGGCCCAGGAATTGGGCACAACAAAGCGGCATTGTGTCGGGCTCCACGCCTTCTTCCGAAGAACAGCAAGTCTGTGATCGCTACAACCCGTATTGTTCTGTGTGCTGGGTTAGCACTTACACAGCTCGAAAGCAAAGAACGTCCTCTTCCATTCCTCCATCTGTCTGAGTTTTTGGCGCATGCCCGGCGGGGGAGGGGAGGGGGGGGTTGGTTTTTCCTTCTCTGTGCAGGGCTAGTTCTTCGCTCTTCTAGGCTTTGCCTTGACTCCTGCCATTGCGATCCTTGTCATGCGGTTACGGTTTGTGATTGGAGGCGTGCTTCGCTGCATCTCTGGCTCGATAGGCTTAGCCTCGGGGAGTAATACTACATCCCGCCTTTTCCGTGTCGCCATGGAACAACGTGAACTCATTCCAATTCGGGTGGGTAGTGCCCCATCGGAGCTGTGTAACACATTGCTCCAGGGCCTACCCAGCTGGATCGGAGACGTACCTGTCTTGGCGTATGTTACACTACCTATTGCTATCTCCGCGGATGAGGTGTTACGCGAAGTTGGCCTGGCTTTTGGCGTAGCCTCAGTGTTCCTGGAGCTACGAGACTCTGCAAGGCAGGTTATGGATGCGGTCTTCTGTCCCAGCTCCATCTCTGTCTGTGCGGTTATTCCCAACCTCTCGCCTCTGAGGTGGGTCGTTACGGTGGACCTCTATTTGGATCGCTGCGCTGAACAGGCGGCATTGGAGGTAATGTTGCATCGCGATGTCCCCCCGCTGGACCGAGCCGCGCCGATATCGAGTATCGTATACCAATGGTGACATATGTGATCGACTTGCCAACCAACTGCATGGCCGCGTTACTTGCTTTACGAGCCAATGCTAACACACCCGACATGCGGGGGCATACGCCCCTTGCATATTCAGTGCTTGCTAATTCGCACTCGTGCACTGGCCTGCTATTGCAAGCGACAGCGGCGCTGGACCCGCCAACCGGATATATCCCTTTGCTTCTGGCGGTTGCGCGTGGTCACCGCATCATGGTGAACGCACTGCTACATGCGAGAGCATGCCCGCACACAGTGGCACAGCATGGCAGCTTACGCGGAATCTCACCCTTCGAGCTTGCTTGTCAGTGGGTGGATGAAGATGTCCTCCGCGCTTTCCGGCTCTACGGCCATGAAGTCCCCCGTGCGGCGGGTATATACCCTCCTACGAAGACGGTGCGGTTTGCCATCAGCGGCCGCGAAATTGGACGTAGCGAAGCGGGGGAGGACCATGCCAGCCTGATCCAGCACTGTCTGCAATGGCCAATGGCGGGCCTAGTTGCCCATGAATTGGACGATGAAGTTTCCATCGTATACACGTTCAATCGGCCCTCACAGGCTCTAGGTCTTCGGCGTGCTTTAGCCAGTGGCAGTCTCGCCACGGCGATGCACACCCTGGAACTGCACTCCTGCCTGTTGGAAATGCAGGAACCCACGGTCTGGGGCGAATTTGGCCTCCCTATCTATTACACTATCAGCCGACAGCTTGGCGGTGCTCTTGCAACTCTGCTGCTTGCTCGAGCCTCGCCCAATGCTCAGGCCTTGAGCTCTCGCGCCCGCCTGACTGTGCCACTGCAGTACGCCATTCGTCTCGGCTCTGTCGCCACCGTTGTTCAGCTCCTCGAAGCGCGAGCACACGTCCACACCACGGGCGACGTGGGGAACCCCCCTTTACATGTGGCTGCGGCGCTACGCAGTGCCCCGCTTGTGGCATTGCTGCTCGAGTACGGGGCTGGCCTGGGAATGCAGCTGAGCGATTTACGGCCCCTCGTGGCCAGCTCTTTCTACCGCTCTGGCTACGGGCGTGACACGTGTCGTGTAGCCGCCCTTCTTTTCCGTTGCGCTGGTGCGGTCCCGCACCATGAAGCGGTATTGTTAGCGTCCGATATGGTCCCCCAGCTTCTTGCTGACAGCAATTGGTTTGCCCTGTTCTGCATCCAATGCTGGGTTCAACGGCACCCGGACCGCCCTTGACAGCGGGCCCAGGGCAAACGGCCTTTCCATTGCCTAGTCGGCGAGCATCATTATTTCGTGTTGCTTGTTTTGTTTGCATTATCTTGGCGGTGCTCGCTCTAGGGATTGCGTCCCAACCGGTTGACTGGATAGCTTTCATCTGGTCACGTCCCCTTTATTTGCGTTGCGTCTCGGCTCAACGTAGAGGAGGGCGTGGCCTCTTCACAGAGACGGGAAGGGTAGATATAAGGGGGGGGGCCGCGGGTGCCTCAGGACATTGCTGCTCCAGGGCCTTGTCGTGTCCCTCTTTCATGGCGCCTCGGCATTTGCCTAAATCAGGTGCCAAAATTGGAGGAAGTGTACGCTGCAAGCCGGGTAAACCTTCGGGAGGGAAGGAATGTGTTGCCAAGCATAGCCGTGCCTTGCACGCTGCCGCTCCCGCAGGGTCCGGTACGGCCAGTTCCCGCGAAGCCCTTAGTTCGCCCCTACGGCCTTACCAGCAGCAACACACCGCCCCCGGCCCTGGGGCCGCAACAGCTCTGCTGACGTCGGTGAGCTCTACCGAACCCCCGCAGCTTATCATGCAGGCGCCAAGTGGCTCAGCTGACCAGGACACCTCCTTTGCAGTCCGTAGCGCCAGGAATGTTGCCAGACGGCCGGCTCCATCACGACAGGATGAGGGTCCTCAGGCCGGCCAGCCTGAAGTGCCTGTTGACAGGCCCCAAATGCAGCCCCCGGCTGACATGATCTTGGAGCTCCAAGGCTCGTGGTCTCTTCGGCTGCTGCCCAGGACGTCCTTGCGCATTTATACAGATGCAATGGCAACGCCAGGTACTGCGTCAGTGGGAATTGGCTCAGTTCGGCTGGAGACTCAGCAGCCCCAGGCGGAAAGTCAGGCCAAGCCAACTAACGCTCCTCTGTTGCTACGGTAAGGAATAGCCCCTCGACGGGGCGCCGAAGCATGGCCTCGGGCGCTCCCAACCCCCTAAAACGCGGCTGACATACGTCGCCCGCCTATTGGAGTCTCACTATATGCTGCCAGGTACTCACCACGAGCTGACAATGCTTGTAATGCGACGCCTGTCACCGCCCGGCCTCCCATTGCGAGGGCGTCTCCAGCTGTCCTGGCTGCTCAGGATTTTTTTTCGCCTGCGGCCAGCTAGCTGCGCCGCCATTGATGGTTGCCTGCCCCTTGGCGTCCCAAATTCTCGTCGGTGGTTCCCACCCCTGTAAGCGGCAGCTGGCATACGCCATCCGCCTTTTTTCGGAGGTCCTCCCTATTCCGTCATCTATTGAGGGCTTTGTTGGCACATGTCGCTCCCCCGCCCTCCCTAGCAAGGGGGGGGGGAGGGGGGCCTCTAGTTCCCCTGGCTGCCTAGGTGATCTAGCCCTGTTTCAACACTTGCCTGCCGCGGCCTGAGCATCCTTGTGTTAACCTTGATTGGATTGGTCATTTGTGATTCAGTCTTGGCTCGTGGAACCCGATAGGCGCCTAGTAGCCACGCCGAGCACGGAATAGGGTCTGGTCCAGAGGGAGGGGGGGGGTCTCGAGCCTTGTCAGGGCCGCCTGCCCACGAATCTCCTCCAGCCTTGCGGACGTGGCTGCTATGCGCCGCCTGCCTGTTAGCGTTGGAGAATTGTGAGGCATGCTATGTGCCCGCCCGGGCAAGCGAGGCATGGTGCGCACCTCTGCACTTGGTGCCGACAGGTACCTCAGAGCCACTTGTCCATATCCGGCGAGGCTGCCGACTGCTACGCCAAGCACGGACCCGGGACATCTCGTGGCGGGGGGGGGTTTTACGCCTGCTCCTTTCCTCGACACCCTCCTATGCCGCAATGCCACCCTTGCACAAGCCTCTTGCATGGTCGTCGGGCTCTTAGCCCTTGCAGTCTGCCAGGCTCTTGGCAGTTGGGCACGTTGGTGTCTGCCCTGGCAAGAGGGGCCTTTTTGGTCATCTGCTGCAACTGGTGCCGCCAGGTAGATCCAACCGTTTGACAGTTGCTCGCCCCTTGGTGCATTGACTTCTTGTCTGCGAGTGACCTCCTCGATCTTGAGCCTGCCTTGCCTTTTAGCAACCTGTGGCTTGAAGTATAAAAGGTAGCTTGCGACATACGTCGCTCGCTCTTGCTCCCCATGGCGGCACGCCCTATGGCATCACATGGACAAATGAGCAGGCAGGCCATTGCCATCAATCTTGCCGAGCTCCCTTCGGAGCCGGAGTCGGACGGAGAGCCGACGGCTTACCCTGGAGCGGGCCCGTGGTGGCCGCCACACGGCCCTCTGGCGCCGGTTCCGGTCAATGAGCCGACCGGCGAGCGCGTCCACAGGGAGGCCACAGACATGTTCAACCGTTTGGTCTCCCAGGAAGTCTCCTGCGCAGTTGCTGACACACTGGCAAGAAGGGGCATTTTCATGAACCTGGCTGTCACTTGCGTCGAGCCTGCAGCAGTCACCCAAGGGTCCATGGCTATCTATGTGCGACCTCTGGCGCCTCGGGAAGGCGAACACCCTTGGACCGTCTACGTTAGCCAGGACTTAGCGGATGAAGGCTCCGCAGCTGAGGAGCCTAGTGCTGCGGTTGGGCCCGGGGCTGCCTCAGAGGGCGCTAGGCGATCGGTCCGTTTGCGCAATGACCGTCATCAAGCTCAGTCTTCGGGATGGAGAAACCCTATGGACAGTGCCGAGGTTGATTCCCCGACGGCTGTCGAGCCTGTGAACGCTGCCACAGCAGTGGAAACAACCGCCGACGCTCCGCCCGCTATCCCGACTCCCAAACCGAAGACCAGCCGGAAAAGATCGCGGCCGATCTGACGCACTTACAGTGGTGCGGAGCCACTACTGGGGGCGCGTACCCCCTAGTTTGTGTTTGCAGGGACTAGCCCGTAGCGGGTCTAGTTGACTTCCTGCCAAAGGACTTTTTTGAATGCGAGTTTCCCCTGAGAAATGCAAATGGCCCAGCGCAGGAGAATTGCGGATTGCATGCTATGCCTCTCCTGTCACCGTAAGGAGGCGCTGAAACCGTGACTTGTTCTGTGGCTGCCTCAGAGGGGCACCGCGTCCGTGTTTCCTCAGTCGTGGTTGTCCATGCTTGTTTGCCTGCAGCCCTGCACCTCAAACCGAGTATTGTTCTGTCGGGGGAGGGGAGGGGGCGACGACATACGTCGTCAGCCAGGTGGTATGGCTGCCGTCAATGGGCCTAGATGTGGCGGCTTGGGAACCAAGACGTCAGACTGGTGGCGCGTGAGAATCCACCTCCTCGGGGTGGTCATAAAGAAGCACACTGGGCTACCTGCCCGTATGTGTGCACTACCCCAGGATGTCAACGCACCTTTCTCAAGGGCAGGCACCGCCACTGCTGCTCCCTATGCAGCGTGGGGCAACACACTGATCGATGTGAGCGGCACGTTGCCCGGCTGTTGCGCCGGATGCGGCGGTCAGCCTTGTCCCTTTGCTGCTCCCCGAATTGCTCGAGAGTGGCGGGAGTCGGGCACACCCGATGCTGCGCTCCTTGCGACCATACGAATGCGGAGACGCACACCCCCCAGTGTGAGCAGCGTCAGCGCCATCTGGCCAGCGGGCATGCCTACAGTGCACCACCTGAGTCGGGCAGCAATGGGCGCACAACCACCGCTGACGAGAACCAATGGCAGGAACCTGCAGGTCTCCCAGCTTCTGGAGTAACCTGTGACGACCTGCCAGAGGCCGCTTCCCGGGAAGCGAGCGGAGTGCCAGGCATTAGACCGCGGTTGCAGACATTTTACCCGATGGGGGTGCGACCTTCATTGACTTGCATCCCTCGAGCCACGGCCTCGCCTAGAGCTGCCGGTTTGGAACACATGGATTGAACCCCTGCCAAGCCGTCTGCGTCGGGACAAAGGTAAATGCTGCCCGCATGCTTTGTCTTCAGCCTCAACGCATCACTAGTTGAGTCTGGCCAGGCGTTGCAGCCGTGCCGTGCCTGGAGGTCGCAGGATACTGCTGCCTGCCGCGAAAGCAAGGCCGCCGTCGCCAAATAAGGGGGGGTGGGCATCCTTGTGTGCTTGCATTTGGCATTGGTCCTTTGCCTTGGCTTCCTTCAGTCTTGCTATTGTGTGGGCTTTCAGCACGTCGGCATGCGACGACGTCCTTTTTCCGTTCCCTGATCCGCCCCGGCCTCTTGTTCAACATGGCAAGTTCGTGGAACGAGATGCCGGTCAACGTCAACATCCCTGGCTACGACATGTTCCAGATCACGTCCTCCAGCGACATCGACCCGCTCTTTGTCACTTTCGCGCTGACCCTTGCATCCCAGCGCGGTGCGAACTGCGTGGTCTTTGAAGGACGCATTCGGCGGGCCTGGGTCAAGTTCCTTCCCGATGATCCCCGACGAGTGGATGCCGTCTCGCGCACGAGGAACGACGACGCCGGTCGCCACGGCTACCAGGCCTTCCTCCGTGAGGGGGCCGAGTGACCTCCGGCGCTCCTTCTGGCCAACAGGGTTTTTTAAGTTGGGCTTGGTGGTTCGCCACCGTGGCCCGGATCATGATCTCTCTCGCTCCTGCGGAAAAGGCGTGTTTCTGGGTCGCTTGCGTGTGCATTGCTCCCACCCTACTTCCGTGTTTGTCCCTTGGCTCAGATTGCGGTGACATACGTCGCCAGCACCCTCACCTCGCATACAGCTTCCACTCTCGCCCGCCCTGCTTCTGCTATGGCGGCTTTGCCTTTGCCGATGATGTGGAGGCGCCTGGACCCACACATTAACGTTCGCCATGGTGACCTGTGTCACTTCGACTTGGCTGCGGACCCCGAGTTCCAGCTCACCTCAAGCGACATCGATGTGATACTCATGGCGGCCCTGGGCATGCGCGCCAACCTGGTTGTGATCGAATTACATCATAACTGGCAAAATGCTGGAAACGAAACGGTGAGGGTTTGGTTCAAGCAGGTGGCCAGCGTGGTGGAGCAAATTGCGAACCACCGCGACTGGGACACCAGTGGCCGACAGGGCTACCAAACCTTTTACTTGGGCTGATTGCCCGGCGGTGGATCTTGGGCCCTGGCCCAATAAACCGGACCGGTATCCGCCCCTTTTTTTTAGTCAACAGGCAGTGGCGGTTCAGTGCGTCATGCTCTACATGCCACAGGCTGAGGGAGGATGAGAGTGCCAAAAGGTCCTGTGGGTAGGGGGGGGGGGGCTTGACATCTGCCCTGAGCCGTTTGCATGCTGATGATTCTAATCGCGGCTCAGGCGGTGACATACGTCGCCAGCCAGGGGTTGGGGCAACCTGTTCATCGGTGGTAGTGGGCGCCATGGCTGTCCAATTGTTCCACACGCACCATGTGGTCAGCGGAGTTGGTACCGAACTTCATCGGCCCATATCCCTGGCGCTGGCGTCTATACAGCGTGCAATCTCGGGTATGGAGCACCTTCACCTTCAAGTGTACGAGGGGCACCTTTTGGTGCAGGTTCTCCCCGGCATCACGGACGTGCCTGACTTCACCGAATACCCGGCAACTTGGCGTGTCTTTCAGGAAGGTGCCCCTTTGCACACGGACGACTCCCCCTTTTCCGTTGCGGGCTACCTTGCGACGGTTGCGGAAGCCTTTGACTATATGGCACTGTGTGGCAGCTTGCCCGTGCTTGTCTGCTCGCACGATCGCCGACTAGGGCACGGCTTTGTGGGCATGCTGGTCACCCGACTGAATACTCGGGCGGGAGGCACACGACGTGCACCGGTCGAGGACAGCAGCGATGCCGTTGACTCCATCTACGGTTTCCAGGAGCTACCGATCAGTGCAGACCTGCTTCCCTTTGGCCAAATTCCGACGACCCCGTGCGAGTATGAGCCAACCATACCAGTAAATTTGGACTCTCTAGCGCGTTATGCGGTATGGCTTTGCACAGATCCCGCGGTTGTGCATTGCCACACCTTGTGGCTGTTCACGGACACGGACTCGTTGGAGGAGTATGACCATACGCGCCACACCCTACCACATATCCTCAACAGGTGTTGCTGGATCGGTCGGCATAACGAGCGGCACACCTGTGTCTTCTTTCCACTCCGCCAAGCCACAGGCTTGCGTCGGGCGGTGGTCTGGTGGGGCAAGGTCTACGCGCTATGGGTTCTTAGGGTTCTGCTCCCAGGCAAACACATCATTCTGTCAGATCACGATGCAGCGCCGACGGCGCTCTTTGAGGTCGCTGACCTCCAAGATCTATGCCTTGACACGCAGGAGTTCCAGGCCTCCGCTGGAGTTGGGATGCCGGCCCCAGACGATACGGTTTGGTCTTTCGCGCCAACTATACCTGACCAGGGCAGCCCTTGCTCTCGGCGCACACGCGAGTCAGTGGGAGTCGTTTTTGTGACGGAGCCGTCCACCGACGCCCAGGGAGGGTTTTCTGTCTTCGCTAAAGAGCCTGGCCGACTTCATACTGAGGTTGGCATAGTGCCGCTACATCTGCGCGGCCAAGGGTCTTGGCAGGCCTTTGTGGCTGCCTGTGACGAGGAAGGAGGAGCCAGCACCATCGGGGACTCCCAACTCTGCCGTCGCTTTGGCCTGACCCAGGCGGTACTGGCGGAGTGGGCTGCCGAAGTTGTTCCACTCCTTTTGTCGAAGCTCGCGCACCTGTCAACGCTGCCGCGTTGCAGACCTCGGGAGCGTCGGACTGCCGAGCTATTGGCAGGTACGCCACTCTTTGGTGCACTGGCGCGGCACAGCGGCGACGTTGTCACCACTTGGGTGTATCTGGGAGCGGTCCTGCAGCAGCCTTACTGGCACCCCGATGCACAGGGCTGCTTTAACGCCAGCATGAAAACACCCAACCCTGATGACTCCTTGCGGGAGACCTTGCAGCCACATGAGGATGCCTTGGGATGGGCTAGAGGAGCCCATGAACAGTGTGCTAATTCCACCCTCTTCGCCTTGAGCTCCGACCACTGCCGGGTGTGTAGCCTGCCGGGGCCCTTCCTCTTCATGGCTAAAACGCTTCCCCCGGACAGCAAATGTATTGGCCCGGCCTTCGTGCACGGATACGGTGCCAATGGCAAGGCCCCTCTGGCGCAGCTGGGCCGCCTCCGCTCATTGCCCACCCTCGCAGAGACACTTTGGGGGTGGCGTGACGCCCCACCCTGGTGGGCAGTCTCTAGCTTAGGTTTGATGGGAGCCCCTGGCTTTAGCGTGATAGCCCCCGAGCACTTTCCTGGACCCGGGGCGAGGCGGGTCCTCCCATTTCGGCGTGTCACACGGCATCGTTTTTCGCAGCACATGCGCACGTGGGCGCGCTGGCGGATATGTGCCCTCCTGCCCGCGACTGAGCTGGAGCAAGTCGCGGCTGTGTCTGCCCCTTCCCCCGCAGGGGAGCAAATGCTGGCACTGACATGACGGACCATTGCCTGGTGCCCTACCTGTACCGTGCTGTTCAAGGCTTTGACATGGCACATGCAGATGACGATGACCACCCGGCGGCCGGTTACCCTCCGGTCACGGAGGTGCGCATTGAGTGCTCCGGAGCCAGCACGTTTTGCGCCCCGGCACGCAGTGATGCCTGGCAGCTCATGTGCTCTGTCCAGTGCTATGGCCCAACCGGCTGCCACGCCGAGACTTGTGACAAGCTGTCGGCGACGGCATCGGCGCGTCTTAGTGCCACTGGCCG